ACCCCTCCAACAAACCCCCCAATTCCACCAAACCAGCCGACAAGAACAACAACACAGACACCCCATCCCTAGCAAGTCGCATCCAAAGCTCAGCCTCCGGATTAGCCCGGCAAGCCTTCTCGGCCCCCGGTTCATCGGGCGATGCAGCACAGTTCCTCACCACCGGTAGTAAAGCCAGCATATCCTCATCCTCCGCCCTAGCAGCCGCAGAACACTACAACCAAGTTTCCGGACCCTCCGCGCCATCATCAGCGGGGGCTCAATTGCGTGATAGCAATGCGGGGACATTCCGCTCAACAACTACACCCCAGCAGGGTGGGTTCGAGATCCCTCATTTGAGCGAGGAGGAGTTCGCGCAAACAGGGAACGACTTCCTGGAGCCATCAACATCCACCTCTACTACGATAGACAAGGGAAAGGGAAAAGCGAGGGAAGAAGCATCTTCGATCTCACACACCCACGCCCCAGAACCGACCGACGGTTCAGCAGTCATCTCCCTCCTCTCAGACAGAACCTTCGATCCCACATTCCCGCACGACCCCGCCGAAATAATCGAAACAGAACTATTGCCCCCTCAGCAACTCACACAAGCGGAGATCCAAATGCTCGAGTCCTTCCGTCGCCATATCACTCCCCAGCCGGACACTGCCTCTCCATCTACCCACCGTCTTACGTCTGCCAGTCTCGTCCCGGAAATTGATACAATCCTAGATAGTGCGCCTGCGCTGACGGGTACAGATGCTGCTACCTTAAGGGATTGTGTTTTGGCTAGTTTGCCGGGGTCGGAGGATTGGGTTGATGTAGAGGAACGGTATCATGATGAGGTGTGGGGCTGGTTGAAACCTACTTTGGAGGCTGCCGCTAGAGAGCTGGAGGAGAAGGAGGATCCAAGGGGAGAAGATGGGCCTGCCGTGCAACGATTGAAGACGGTTTTGACACATATGCGGGCAAAGCTCTAGGAGTCTGGGTTGGGGAGTGAGATGGGGCGGCGGTCATGTAGTGTATACCCATACATTTGCCTTTTGTACAATATGTATTTGGTACCGAGGTTGTTGGTAGGTAGTGTATAGAACATTTTATGTCCACATAATCCTATTATGATATGAGAAACATCCAAGGCGAGAAATGATACGTGGTAACAAGGTGATTCGAAATATTCAATTGTACTATCGTACAGACTAAACATGAAAAGACGGGGTGCTTGCCCCGTATATCATCACAAACGATCATGGTAGTAATAAACGACAAACGCGGAGAAAAAGGGTATGTATCAAGAACTAGCTGCGTCAAATAATTTTCTCTGTCCAAAATGTATCGTTCCCATTCTATTGCACAATCTAAAGCTCGAGGCTGGGGGTCTGGCCCTTGACGCGGCCGATGACAATCTGAGCGGCATACTTGGGGATGACTTCGTCATCGTGAAGCATGGCGAACTCTTCGGTGGCATCACGGCCCATGAAGTTGAAGAGAGCGTTAGCGCCACCAGGGTGCTCATCCAACCAGTTAGTCACATCCAGGACGACACCCTTGACGACGATCCACAGGTCGTCCTTCTTGTTGTGCTTGGCAATTTCTTCCATGGAGTATTCGGTCGCGGGGATCTCGAACTTCTTGGGTTCATTGGCCTTAGCGGTGGAAGAGGCACCAGCCGGGGTAGCGCTGGCCTTAGCAGGCTCAGCAGTAGCAGCAGGAGTTCCAGCACCTGCGGGAATCTGAGCACCACTGCCACTAGCACCGCTCCACTCGACGGAGATCTTTCCTGGAGTAGACGGATCGATGTGCAGAGAGATCTGGCCCAAACGCTGAGAAGCGCTGGAAGCACCGCCAGAGACCAGCTTCTGGAAGAGGTGCTGGCTGGCGCTGTCACCAGCAACGCGACCGTAGACAACACATCCCAGGAGAGAAGAACCACCCAGACGGTTGGCACCGTGGACACCACCAGCAAGCTCACCACAAGCATAGAGACCCTCGAAAGGCTTCTGCTCCGAGTTCAGAACCTCGGCGTGCTCATTGATCTCGATACCACCCATGGTGAAGTGCAGGACGGGCTCCATCAGAGCCACGTGGAAGGTGTCGTTGATGTCGAAGGGCATGTTGTGGAAGAAACGCTTGCCCCAAGGATCCTTCACCTTGCCCTCAGCAATGGCATTGTATTCCTTGAAGGTCTTCTGAAGAGCAGCCTCGCCGCAGCCGATCTCCTTAGCCAACTCCTTGCCGGAGATCTTCTTCATGAGACCACGGCCGGAGTAGTGGCGGGTGTGGAAGTCCAAAACGTTGGATGCCTTGCTGTTCAGGACGAGGCGAATGGGCCACTTGCCCTTCTCCTTCTCCTTCCACATTTGACCCGAGACGTAGTCACGGTGACCGAGCTCATCCGAGAATCTTTGGCCATCGGAGTTGAGGAGAAGACCACCCTCACCACGGAGAGCCTCAGCAGCAAGGAACTTGAACTTGGCGGTCGGGTCCTTGGGGTCGACGAGACCCGTGGGGTGGACCTGGACCTTGTCCATGTCGATACCGTTGGCACCAATCTCCATCAACATCTTCTGACCATCACCAGTGGCGTGAGTGCCGTTCGTGCTAGACAGACCGAAGGTGTCGGGGCGGTGCTGCTTCAGGAGCGAGCCGTCGCCAAAGTCTGCGGCATAGCCACCAGTGGCCAAGATGACAATACCATCGGCGGTGTGTGTCTCACCATCATACTCATAGGTAACACCAGTTACGGTGTTGCCAGTCTTGTTGACGGAGGTAACGCGAGCCTTCTTGACAATCTGTACACGTTCAGGCTCCTTCTCGGTAAGCTCTTCCAACCGTTGCATGAGGGCGTAGGTGATGGCCATGCCGGGGAATTTGGCGTCATGACCACGGTGTGTACGAGGCTGGGAGTGACCACTGCGACACTATTAGAAAATCGAGTTTGTCATACTTATTGTATTGTATCACTTACCCAAGACGGGAAACAAGGGTGAGATCGAGGTTGAAAACATCCATCAGCCATTCCACAGCGGCAGCGGACTTGTATGTGAGAACCTTAATGAGCTCGGGGCGAGCCTTGTCTCTAGCGGATTTCAGGGTGTCGTCGTAAAATGTCTTGACGCTGTCCTGGATGCCCAGGTCGACCTGGGTGCGAGTAAGGGCACCATTGATACCCGAAGTAGCCTTGGTGGAGTTGCCACCGAAGAAAGCTATGGGAAGTCAGTCGCGATCGCTTTTTCGACGCCGATTTGCGATAATATCGATCGCAGTGCCATATGTACGAGCATCACATACCTTGTTTATCTAAAACGAGGACATTTCCACCGTTCAAGTAGACGGTGTGGGCGGCGGAGAGACCGGACACTGAGAGACGAGGTAATGGTCAGCAAATTGCGGGGAAAGCTTGGTTAGTAGATCACTCACATCCACCGCCGACAACAATTACTCTGGGGGCGGGAGCCATTGTGAAAGAAATGAAATGTAGGGAGAATAAGTGTAAAGAAAGGACAAGGAAGAATAAGGTCTGAGGAGAAGAAAAGGATCGGGGAAAAAGGACGAGACAGCGAGATCTTAAAGCAGTTCTCAAGGACCACAGGTTCCGGGGGGAGGAGTTGGATTGGGAAAGGTTCAGAAGCCGACAATGCTTTTCGGCCGAGGCTCATCGCTCGAGAGAATGTCCCTGTACCGTACTGGTACCGTTTCGCTATGCATGGACCGCTTTCCTCCCAGGCAGGAACCGCGTTTCCTCGATGGTAATTACTATACACCCTTACCGTGCTGAATGAAAAGACGGGGAAAGTGGTCCCTCCTTAGTAAAGGGTTATTACAACAACTCTGGTTTGTCCATAGAACTGGAGATCTGTTGACCCATTCTTGGTGGACCTTGATGTCTCTTGTGGATAAATGCTTAATGTTTAAGAGTCAACGAGTACAGGTATCAAAAACATACACAGGACATGGATGCTTTTCTCTTTTATCCAAGTAGCAGGGATGCGAAACCATCACATGCTTCAGATCAATACTGTATATGTATGTATGTATGTATCTATTTAGCAGTAGTCATCAGTCGTCCAGGCCCTGCGATCTGACCATCCGGCATGGTTTCCTCTTTCACTGTTTCCCCCCCCATGACACCACCTTTTTTCACATGTCCGAAGTCACCAGCAAATGAGAGGGCAAGCTTAAGTCAGCGGAGCGTCATGTTTCACCTGATGATCATAATTCTTCACTTCTTATTGCTCGGAGCTTAGAGATCTGCTCAGTATTAGATTTATCCGGGGTACCGTGGACAACTCGGAGTTGTCCCCTTTCGCGAGGCACTCTGTATGCCATGATCCGTGTGATCAGTTTCGATCAAGAGCATATCATATAGATTAAAAAGAATCCACCATCAAAACTATTACAGAAGAAATCCCCATCCCCAAGTTGTCATATTAACTAGTTCCCCCAGAGAATGGGCCATCCCCAGACCCGTAGACGGGAGGATCAGTGGCGGATTACCCCATACCCAAACATTTCCCTTGCCTATTGTAGAAGTACCTCGGACCGAGCGATCTTTAAGCTGGTCCGCCAATATCCAGCCAGCTTGTGCACTAAAGCTATGAATGGGTCCAGGTAGCATCAGACCATATTCATAATAAACACCCCTTTTCTCTACCTACTCTCTTCCCCCCATTCTTTATTTTGTCTACCTCCAACTCAACCTCTTGTTCCTGACAAGCTGTAGCTTGGGTCACCGATGCGGTCGGCTATTGGTCACGTGTACATCCCGGCTATTGATGTCCTGGTTGCTCTGCCAATAAGAGCGGGGTTCTCAATTGCCGCGTAGTGGAATGGCACAATAAGGTACCGCGGGCCCCGGCCCGTTAACTGGAATTGCAGATTTGGGCCGGTGAATAGCCGGTGGACAACTGTAACTGCTCCATCCAGGAACTGGTTCAGTCTTATATACTTTGCTTCTTCATGTTGTCAAATTAAGCTACTGTCTAGTTGTATTCTGTATTACTATGTATTACTGTTGTACGCTGTAGCTGGAGGTAAGTATAGCTCGGTGGTATATGTCCCGAAACGCACCAGTGTTGGTCGGCAATCTCGGGGAATATGCCGAGTCGCAGACCCCAAGTCGAGGCGGCACAGAGAGTATTGCGTCAACATGTCGGGGGTTGTTCACGCGATTTTACTCTGCACTATACCGAGAAACTCTAGAAAGTTCATGGAAACAATATTTACTCAATCATCATTAGTTAGCGATAATCGCCGTGACGAGCTGAACTACTATATACAATGACTCCTACTTATGAAACCCAGGTTACATATATGTCGTGATTCATTAATCCATCCAGGTTACGCTCTTGGTGACCAGGAATTCTTCCAGTCCTTGAGCGGTATTGAACCGGCCCCATCCGCTGTTCTTGACACCGCCGTGTGGCAACGCGGGTTCGTCGTGAATGGTCATACTGTTGATGTGGACCGCACTACATGCAATCAGTATGAATTCCAACGGAGACGGCTGAAAGTTGAAGATTTGAATAAACTCACCCAGATTGAATCCGCTTGGCCATAGATAATCCTTTGCGCAAGTCCTCGGTGAACACGGAAGCCGACAGACCATATCCACCGCCATTTGCGATTCGGATGGCCTCTTCATCGCTGTCAACCACCATGCACGCCGCCAATGAGGCGAACGCTTCCTCCTGCCAAACCTTCATATCTTCACTGACGCCACCAAGGAGGACAGGGGCCATGCGAACACCAGCTTCTGGTTGAGCCTCGGACGTCTGGTTCGCGGATCCGTGGATCAAATGGGCACCACTCGATAAGGCATCTGAGATCAGACGCTCGACTCGCGCTTTAGAAGCCACATTGACCAAAGTTGGAGGCGGAGAGGATGGGTCGAGGTTCGAGTTCAAGGCGTTCTTGAGTGCTTCCATGAAGGTCGGCGCAATGGAGGAGTGGACGAGGATCCGATCTGTGGCCATGCAGATTTGGCCAGACTGTGGAGTGTTAGAAAGAAAAAGGCGCGTTTACAGAAAGCACCAGGAATCATCATACGTTCAGATAGCTCCCGCCAATACGCCCTTCACGGCAGTTTCGATGTTCGCATCTGCGCAAACAATAGAGCTGTTCTTTCCTCCGAGTTCCATCAGGCATGGTTTGAGGTTCTGGCCGCAGGACCGGGCAACCTGTCTTCCGACGGCTGTGCTTCCGGTGAAGTTGATCTTACGCACAGCTGGGTGTTCAATCATAGTGTTGACTACCTGGGGGGCATCTTGGGGCCGACACGATATGAGGTTCAGACAGCCGGCAGGTAAGCCGGCATCTTCAAAAGCGCGAGCAAGTGCCCAGTATGAGCAGGGCGAAAGTTCGGAGGATTTCAGGATGGTTGTGTTGCCGGCAGCCAGCGCGCAGGCGGCGGAGCGGACGCCAAAAACGTAAGGAGCATTCCTAGAGAGTCATTGATAAGCCGTGGAAATTCCCATATGAAGAGCATTTCATCCAGCAAAAACACACCAAGGAACGATGCCCAAGATCACGCCCATAGGCTCCTTGTAAACAATGGCACTCTGACCCTCTTCCTCCACGACGGGCACACTTCCGCAAATGGAGGTAATGCGCCCAGCAATGTCCCTCAACATGCGAATACCAAGCGGTACGATAAAGTACTGCGACGCTCCTACGTCCGCACCCATTTCTGTCCGCATGTACTCCGCATTTTGAACAAGGCGACTTTCCAGGATATCGGCTGCCTTGAGTAGGATATCCCGTCGGACGGTGGGTTTAGTCTGCGACCAGGCTGGGAAGGCTGCCTCGGCGGCCTCGACGGCGCGGATAGCATCCTGAGGGGAAGCCGAAGCTGTTGCCCAGCAGCGCTGGTTGGTATATGGGCTGATGACGTCGAATGTAGACTCAGGCACTTCCTCCTTGCCATTGATAATCAAGGGGATTACCGAGGGAGCGGAGGAACTAGCTTCAGCCGTCATTGTAGTATGGATCGGAATTCGCTTGCAGAATAGGAGACTCGAAATCAGATTGACAGATACCGAAAGACCAAAAAAGTGAAGGTTCTATATATCTAGAACCAACAATTCTACGAGGTGGAGGGGCATTAAATTTAATAGTATGAGGGGAATCGTAGGTTAGTCTAGGCATCACTAGTACTGTTATACTAAGGACTGAGCCACAAATGGCCTTCAAAGCAGTACGAAGTCATTGGACCCACCCAACAGCCCGTCTTCCTCTTTTAAGTTGTCATGTTCCTAGACCCTTTCTCCTGGGCACTATACAAGATAGATAATTTGATTCTCTTCCACGATCAATCATAGGAAACTGTGCAAGACAATATCCCGTGATTTTTGACCGTAACCATGTGGTGAGGGTCTACATGCATGTAGACAACTACCCCACTGTGTCGAGGGGAATGCAGGTACCGCGCACAGAAGAGTCCCCGAGAGAATGAAATTATCTATGCCAGAAGGGGAATCGAAAGTCGGTAGGTACCGTGGACGTTGCGTGGATTTTTGTCGCCTGAAGAAAACATAGCGTAGCTAACTCTTAACCTTCTGGGCAGGTCTGGATGACGATCAGACACATCCTCCCACGGTTTAAAACTTCGAAATACCTAGGGACCACCCATCACAAGATTTTTGTTCGTGGATCGGTTCAGAGACGATGGAGTAGGGCTGCCCACAATATCCGAATGCGACGTTCGCTAGCAAGGAGCTTACTCAGACAGGGTCCACCTACAGTGGATATTTTATCGACAGTCAAGGGCCTCCCGCCATTAAGGAAGCGTGAATGTCAATAAGAGACCCGATTCCAACACTGATCGGTCACTGAAGTGCCGAATGTGTGAAATGATCTGCACCACGCTAACCATTAGCGTACCCACATCAGAAGTGACCAACCCAAGGCAATTGTATAGGACTATTGAATCGTCCCTAGACAGTACCTGCGGATCACCAAAAGCAGAACATTTCTAGAAGTATTACTCCGTACTTTGGTAAGGACCCCGAAGTGGCGTTTTGGATTTGTGATCTCAATAATTGGCATTAATTGTGGGGTGTTCCTCAGTTTTATATGAGCTTGTTGCACGGTATGGTTAGCGGAGAAATGAGGTAATCGACAAGCCTCTGACGGAGATTTTCTATGAAAGAGAGGGTTTAGGACCTAATAGTACAGGTACTTGGCGTTCTGCCCCTATAAACCTCAAGGACCCTGATCAGAACTGCCATGACTATCTATTGACTGTTGCAATTACGAGAACGAGCCCGGCGAAGAAAAAAAGAAATGCAGACGCCTTGACAGAACGTTGCGTACCAAGGATCTTTTCAAAAATTACAGGCGCAAGAGAACGTGCTCAAAGAAAGCCCTTACTGGGCTTGATCTCCAGCTGGTGATTAAGCAAACCAGGGTCCTTTTGCTATCCACGTGTGTTCTGTACCAAATTGCGTCCCGTGTTTTGTCGGCAAAACCCAGCATTGAGGGCAGCAACAGGACGATTAGTAGCTCAGCCTCTGCGCCCCGCAACTCTCAACGCATATTCTCCTCCTGCCGAACATGCCTTCCTTGACAAATAAGGCCTTACCTGGTTCAGATCAATAGAACTCGAGGATCTCCAGTCTCAACACACAGCAGTTATAGCTGTCAAGGTTGAATGACCGGGAAGCTAGGCTACGTCCCCCCCTTTTATGTAATAAAAATGCAGGCTACTTCCACAGAGGCGAACCTCTCCAAGGCATATTGTAGGAGAACCAAGCGGCCGTAGCCGGGGGTTGTACTCTGGAGGTGATCCGAGATCGACACGCGCTCAGCGCGCAACAATGTTCCGAATCGAAGAACACATTCCGCTCCTCTGACCACATTAGGAACTGTGGCCGAACTATGGATTCACTACATGCCGCCTGGAGATTCTGCTCACGGTGCTTATATCAGAACAGAACCATTCATTTCCACTCCTTGGAATAGCGGCAATAGACCGATGACAAGGTGGAAAGCGATCTCAGAGTAGGTTGTGTCAAACACATGGTTTGGGTCGCCGAGGGTTCTCAAAAGTAAATGTGTGGGAGATGTGGGGGTTCTCAAACGACGGATCGCCCGGAGCCCTGAGGAAGTGGAATAGGAGACAAGGTTTGGATCAGAAGAGATTTCTGCTCTCTTTTTGGGTTCCCCTTCTCCCCGGTTCGCTTGTCTTGCAGGAGTTGATCGGATAGCTCGCCTATTCCTCCAGGGACTGTTTCCCTCTCTCTCATTGAACCGTTGACCGCCAAAGGTTACATCGGCATGTTTATCAAACTCTATACATACTTCAAAGTTCACAGTCTAGTTCGCCTATCGTTGTCTGAGATAATATTAGTCTTGAATTGACAGGCACTAGCCTACTATTTACCTGTTTCCCATAGAACTCACCACCACTAAAACCAAATAGTGCATCGTTAGAGTTCAACACCAGAATGATCGTCGCTGGAGCCGGTGGGGACAGAATTGTCGCCACGAGGCCGCGGGTTCTTCAAAGGCCGCGTTATCATCCCAAATCAGATTGTATACTTCGGGGTCCTTATGTCATTCCTGCGGGTCTTCAGGTCCCACTGTTTCGCCTGGGCTTGTGTCACTTCCAATGATGTGCCTGTGTTGCCCTAACTCACCACCTCGTCTACCTACGAACTGTGCATCTCCAACCCTAGATTTGGGACGGACCCATAGCATTATTCCCACCTTTCCGGGTTTTTCTGTGCCTAAAATGCTTGGATGATGGGCGTAAAATGTAGTATATCTGCCGCGGGCCCCATACCCGCCTGCTGGCCTTGGTTCTTCAGGATCCTGTACTGTGTATCTTCCTGCGATTAGTCTCGCACAGCAGCAGTTTATGCTGCTCCTCTGAGACCGGGGCTATTCTTTATAACTATCTACTAGTCTCTCATTACTAGGGGAAGAGGGGCATTGCCGTTCTCGACCATCCCTCTCTATACATGTCATTCCTTTGCATATAGTCATCCCAATTTTCCTCCACCAGTGACCTGCGCACTCTACCGTCTTTCCTTTTCCCGCTTTATAGCTAGTCATTCCTTTCAAGCTTTCACCATGACAATTACCTCAAGGGGGGCTCAGATGATATGCATCGTCTCGGTGTTGGTCGGTCTGTCCCTTATATCAGTTATCGTGCGAGTCTTCGCCCGAATGAAACGAAGCATTGGATTGGGCATGGACGACTACCTCTGCTTTCTTTCAATGGGTCTTTTAATTGCTATGCTCATTGAATTAGTGCTATGTAAGCATTGTGAAACCCACTGCCCTGGACTAGTTGCTAACCGTCATGCAAAGGGGTCATTATCGGAGGCAATGGAGCCCATATGGCAGATCTAGATAAGACAACATTGATGAACTTCTCAAAGGTATGAACAGTTACCACCTGATCCCGACCAATGTCTCTTGGGCAATACACTAATCCAACCATAGATATTCCTTGCAAACCAGTTCACATACTTCGTACTCTGCCCCGCCATCAAAATATCCATCATATGCTTCTACCGTCGAATTTTCACCATGAAGACCTTCCAATGGGTATCATTCGCACTCAACAGCCTAATCGCCGCCTGGGGAGCCGGTATCTTCCTCGCCTGCGCCCTACAATGTCGCCCATTGAGGGGCTACTGGGACAAGAGCATCGACGGCCACTGCTTCGACGGGAACAAGTTCTTCATCGTCAACCAAGCCTTCAACGTCCTGATGGACTTCGTAATCCTATTCCTACCGATCCCCATGATCTGGGGCCTCCAGCGCGCATGGCAGGACAAACTCGCCCTGAACGGCGTCTTCGCCATCGGTGGCTTCGTCTGCTTCGCCAGTATCTACCGCATCGTCGTCCTCTTCTGGATCAAACCAGATGATACCACCTACACCGTCTACCAGGCGGCTCTCTGGACCCATATCGAGCCCGCGGTCGGCCTGATCTGCTCCTGTCTCCCCGTCATCCGTGGCCTGTTCCCGAGATTCAAGATCCCCGGCAGTCGTCGTTATGCTACCGCGCCGTACTATATCAATACCGATATCAGCACCTCCAATTTCGCCATGTCTAGTCCGAAGTCGCCGGCCTCCGCGTACTTTAAGATGATGGAGGAGGGTTCAATATCCCGTGCTACGAGCGATTCCAATGTCCCCGTTGATAAGAATTATCTGATTCCTATGGGGATTGCGGTTCGCACGGATTTCACTGTGAGCAAGGACTCGGCTTCTGTGAAGTCTCACTCTTAATTCTGTGGGTTACCTTGTGGTGACTGGTGCCTTAATTCTTTTTGATTTCAGTCCATGTCCCGTGATTCGATGCACGTTTCGTTCTTTATTGCCCCATTTTTACGACCTTATCTTGACGACTTATCATGTCTTACTGTCTTTCGCTATGGCTCAGTGCCCAGACTTTTTTTTCTTGCTTGTTTCTTTCTAGCGTACCTATCGTGTCTAGACTACTTTGTGTGGCGTTATGTATACTCTGACACCGATGTAATATACCCTGAGAAGTATCTTAATGTTCGAGTTTATTTTCTAGGATCGAGATGTCAAAATCGTATTGTGTTGCTATAACTGGTGGTATCCGTTGTTCATTTTTTCGTAAATCCTCCGTTCTCAGTGTACGGTCTGCCCAACTGTAAAGTCCTGAAATTACAAACCAAGGTGAGCGGTTTTGCATTGTGTGTAGTAGAAGCGATGGGGTGTGTGTGTGTGTGTGTGTGTGTGTGTGTGTGTGTGTGTGTGTGTGTGTGTGTGTACATACCGGAAATGCGTCCGTAATACTGGTCGCTACTCTTTCCACATCTTCCGCGAGTCCTTGAACCCCGGCATCCCATTGTCTAATATGCCTCCCTGTACCGGCTGTGCTTGATTCAAAGTAGATGACCCCATCGATCTGATCAATGCTGCCGCTCAACCGGCCTTGTTCGACCATCCGCGCCGCATAGGCCTCGGCCTTCTCACCCGCCGTCAGATCCCCGCTTGCCTGGAGTCCCAGGATAGCGCCCAGCGCATCCGTAGTAATGTTCTCATACAACTTACTCGCCGCGACGAGGTTATGTTCAACCACCGCCTTATCGAGAACAGTAGTGCCGTCCGCCGTCTGCGCAAGCTGGTGAGGGGCCAACCTCTGCGAAAAAGCTGCGACTTCAGCCGGAGTCAATAGTCGATCCAAGAACATCTTCTCCAAAATACCAAATTCCTCCACAGACGTCGCCCGGTCATCCTTGTACAACGTCGCCAGAATCCGGGAGCGCTGCGGACCAGCCGGGCCCAGGACCGCACAGCGGATGGCGGCAGCCAAAGCCTGCAGACGATCGCTCTCATCGACGCCGGCCGCCAGACTCACATTGAAATATTCTTGGCTGGCATCGAGGAACTTCCTCCGAGCGTCTAGGATGCGGGCCTGGGAAAGCTTGAAATGGAGCTTCAACTCGTGATCTTCGATCTTGCTGGGTAGGTTCTTGATTCGGTTGAGAACTGCCTCCGCACTGGTTGTATCGTCTTCCTCCAGGTATAGTCGTACGATTCGAATCCATAGTCGCACTTTTGCTGCGTCGGATACCAGGCGTTGTGAGCTGTCGATGTGAATCCCTTGTAGTGTCCGCGCGGCTGCGACGTATTCTTCTTCAGCCTCGTATGCGTCTGCGAGGAGTTCGCGGATCTGGGCGTCTTGTTCTTCGACTGAGGTGGAGCGAGATTGGAGGAGTGTGATGGCGTGTTGGCCTACTTTGATCTGGGTTTCGGGGTTCAGTTTCCGGAGAACGTCAATGAACGCGTCGAGGAGTGGGCGGGCGGCCACGATGCTGATGTCTTCGTTGAGGATGGAGTCAAGATAGAAAGTCAAATCTTGAGACAGCTGGTCTCCAGATGATGTCGAGGCAACGTCGGATAGAAGGTCGTTGTAGAGCTGTAGCTTGTTTTGGGGATTAGCGGACGATTCAATCTCCGCGAGGGCGGAGGTAATCTTGTGAGATGCCATGGGAGAGGTTCTCAGGCGGGATGGCGAATGCGTTGAGATGAAGCAGGCAGGTATTGTATGTTTCAGGCTTTGTTTAAGAGGTGGACTATTATTTGTCTTGTGGGATCGGTGTGACGGAGAAGATGTTGTACCTTAAACTCACTGCGGGCACAAACGATGTCAAGCTTACAGAGTTGCTTATCGATAAGAGGGGCTGAAGGGTGCAACAATAGCATCACCACTATGCGGGGGTTTTTCTGCCTCAAGAATTCCTTAGGCGAGCTCTAAGTCTATGTTGCCTTGCAGCCTTGTTTAATTGACTATTTTATTGTCCTACAATACTCCGTTGTTTGAGAGGTTACTCAGCGTGGAGCCCATTAATAGTCTTCACCTCAGCGAAAAAAGTATATGTTGGGTGTATTTTCCATATTAGATTTCAAGTTAGGCTAGACCGGATGAGTTTTAGATTCATTAAATTCAGCGCTTGCATATTGGAACTTTATGTCAAGTAACGGGGTTATTGTTGTTTATATTCAAGACTTTAAATGAACTGAACGGCGGTTAAGGATGCCGCCACCGCCTTTGGCCGACCCGCCGCTCGGCAGCTCCCTCTGCAGTTAGAGCGGACGCATGGCGAGTGTTTCAACATCACGTCACACCACCGACTGCATACCGTCTAGAACATCGGTTGTCGCCCAGATTGTTCTAATACACGGTCGCATTGCCCGATACTACCAGCGGGTGAAATCTCAGATTCTCATTTGTTTGTGTGGGCGGTTAGCGCCATGGTTCCCCAAATCAAACCGGACCCCGACGCGGCATCACCATATATCAAACCCGACCCGGACAGCAAAGATGCTATTCTCGACGACATTGACGATGAAGATCTCTATGAAGATGCCGGCGATTTAGACTTTACAAACGCTGCACAGAGTGTGTGGCTCTCCCGCATTCCTCGAACGCTCTGGGAGCATTGGTCCAACCTCGACGACGATGAAGAAATTCAGATCGGGACGGTTCGGATCGAGGGCCCGCTAAACGATATTAAAAGGGTATGTGATGTTCCTGGATAGGCGGTGCTCGCATTGCGGTCATTACTTGTGTGGTGTTATCTCTTAGGGACGTTGTCTGATATGCGAATCTTTCTAGGTCAGTTTGCGTATCAATGAACGAGAGGAGAACCATGATATCCCCAAAGATTACCTACTGCAACGGCAAACAGTAAACACAGAACATGTATCCTCTCATTCTACGCAAAACACGTATCTATTCACTGAAAAGGACATTCCTGGCCATGAGAATCGGATGATCACTTTTGGCGAGGCGCGCTCAGCCTTGTACGAGTCGATGAAGCGAGAAGCTAAGAAGAAGGAGCGGAAGAAGAAGTGGGAGCCTTATGTCCGGAAGACGGTACCTAGTATGTTCTCTTTGGCTGGTCTACAAAGGATGAAGAAGGGATAATGCTTACACCGTGACAGAACAAACTGCCCTTGTAGGCAGTGTTTCCGAGGAGTTCAACTGCCTTCCTGTGGAGAATGAAGAGTTCCGGCTACTCTCAGAACAAAAAGTCTTGCAATCTCTCAAACCGAAACGCGAAACCGTCTTCATCGACAAGGTCCCTGGAAAGCTCCTTCAGGCAAGAAACGTTCTACCGGGAGAAAAGGGCGCCTTCGTGGTAAGTAGCCTGCAGCCTTCAAATACTCCTTTTCTTTACGTTGATCTAATGTCGATACAGCAAGCAACAAAGGTGGCAAAGCTCAAGCCTCAAGAAAACAAGACAACGCGTATGCCACAAAACGAGCTTCTGGATCTCATTTATCAGTGTTTCCGAGAGTACAGATACTGGCCATTTAAGGCGCTCAAAGCGAGACTCCGACAGCCTGAGGCGTATCTTAAGCAAACGTTGGAGATGATTGGTCACTTGGTCAAATCCGGCGATTTCGCCATGACCTGGGAGCTGAAACCAGAAGCGAAAGAGAGCAGCTATGCGAATGCGTTGTCATATGGCGATGCAAAGGAGGAGATGGCGCCTGGTGCTGACTACAACTTCGACGACGCCTCCGAGGAGGAAGCGACACCCGGGATGTTTACAGATAACGACGATATACAATTTGAGAATGTTCCCTAAAGACTATTGGATCTATGTAGCATAAGCAAGGTCATGGCGTTTGTCTTGGGTTGTCTTTTGGGTTGATTTCATAAAGGTCATTCTGGTATTATTAATTGTGGGCTTAGATGCCAATCCATAGTATACAAACAAATGCATCAATTCACAAACAATGAGTTGAAGCTAGATTAAGATTTGAGTAGCTACTTAATGTAACTGAGTTCTTTGTAAGAGTGATCTAATTCAAGCTTACCTGGGCCCCACGTGACCGCACCCGCCACAGGTCAATCATCTTTCCACTTGCATCAACATTACCAATCGCTAATTCTTTGTCAGTACATTCCTAACCACGCTGTAAAGGACAGAACAAATTTAGTGCATGTGGTCTACTAACTGTGAATGTTAGCCATACTCTTTAGTGACCATGACAGAAGATCAGGACCTGATGGCCAAGATCAGCCAGCTTGCTGGTAAGCATACGTGACGCGCACTTAATAATAATTCTGCCCACTCATATCAGATAGGCCAGATCAATAGACACAAGACCCAAAACCCCCAGACATCAACGCCTTACGGTAGTGATTACCAATCAGGTCATTATGTAGCACGCCATGTACCTTCTCGAGGGCGTCCCGGTTGGGCGCCATACCGCGGACGACCGTATGGGCGAGGCCGTGGCGCTGCTCCTCACCGACACCGTACACTCGTTCTCAACAATACAGCGACACCAGGGACACCAGGTGGTGCGACACCCTCTACTAACTCTGGGATGGATGTTGATAGTGAGAGTCGATCGACAACGCCAAATGGATGGGTTGCCAAGCGCGACCGACACATGCAGCTGATAAACTCTGCTATATACGACCAAGAAGCGCAGGCGAGAGCGAAGGCTATGGAAGAGAGTCGCAAGGCCAAGGAGCAGAAAAAAGCAGATATCGAGCGAGCCAAAGTACTCCGATACGCGCAGGGTGTCGGTAGGCAGTATCCCGGTCCCGCCGCTCCCCAGGTTGCTCCGGGGCCGTCGGCGGAGTATCAGGTCTACCTCAACGACATACCTTTCCGTGTTTCACGAGGCGGTAGTAAACTGATTAGAGTGTCTGGTGCGGCTTTCTCTGCTGCCATACTGACCAAGCGGGCTGGCTCACCGTTAATAGATGATCCGAATACTATCAACAACACACCAAAGAGGGTAACCATTGCTGGTGTTACATTTGTTCGGAGCAAAAATGGGAATCTCCATCGTCTTGGCGCGGTTACTTCGAAAAGGTGATTGTACTGCTCCGCATACTAAGATTGGACACTCACAGCAAGTACAGAAAGCCCAACGCGACTAAGAAGGATGAGCTTTGCCGAAGATTCACTACGACCGGTAACGATGATTTCCCTCGACAAACCTGAAATTTATTTCTCAATGTCGTTTATATCCCACAAAGACCGTGCTGATTGGAACGTGATATTTTAGGCACTTGCTACAAAGGACCATCCTGTCTCTACGTTCATGACCCAGATAAGGTCGCGCTGTGCAAAGACTTCCTCCAAACTGGTGATTGTGCCGCAGGTATAAGTTGCGATCTTTCCCATGAACCTTCGCCCCACAGATCCCCTACTTGTATGCATTTCCTCCGAGGTCGCTGCTCCAACCCGGAGTGCCGATATGCCCATATCCGTTTGACTCCTGGCGCACCCGTTTGCAGAGATTTTGCAAATTTGGGTTACTGCGAGAAAGGCGCTAATTGCGACCAACGACATGTACATGAGTGTCCTGATTACGCCAACACGGGTGTATGCAACAAGAAACGTTGTCGCCTGCCCCATGTTGATCGTGCAGGACAGATTCGGAAGAATACTGGTGCTAACAAGGTCGATGCCACGAACGACGACGACTCTGACGCCTCTAGCGAGGATGAAGAGTACGATGAAATCGATTCTGATGATGTTGACTCAGACGATCTTGACGAGGATGAGCCGGAACTCATCATAAAAACAGACGGCAGTAACGATCTTTCGCAGCAGCAGGATTTCATCAGCTTCTAATTGTACATGCCCACTAACTGCACATAGCTGCAAGAATAGTGTAATTGAGGATTTGGTTTGTCTTATCAGGGAAGATGATAAAAAAGAAAAAGAAAAAGTGAGAGTGAGAGAAACAGGAAAGAAGAAGAAGAAAAAAAATTGAAAATACAAGGAAAGAAGATGGACGAATCAAAATTCAGTAATTGGGAGGTTATCTGCTTTGGCGTTTGTTGCTTTATGCCTTACGAAGTGAAGTTTTCTGCTCGCGAAAGAAGTTACCGATACCCATACAGCATGTTTCACGACTTGTCTATTTGTCTGGTGGAGAGGGCTTGATGAAGGTTTGGATTGTTTCATGGGTGGCAATCTACAAGTTGATAAGGAGGCACTGTAGTATTACTCGGTACTCTTGACTAGAGATCAGGAATAGATACTAGGATGGTAATGGCAGTTCCTTTAAATTCTATGCAATTTTATTAATATTTTTCCCACCTTGCACCCGCGGACAAACCTGTGACCATGAGCGTGACTGCAATAACCGTCTCCAATCACGCAAACACTACTGACATCCCCCCGTGACCATGCCGCAAGGTTCTCAGTTGCATGGAGCTTAAGTTGCATCTTATCCCCTATCCTGAGATAAGACTGGCTCTATAAATATCGCCTCCTCCCCACCTCAACCTGCCTTCTACTGGAAGGCCTTAACTGCTTCTCCTAGCATACAAGGATATCCCAAATATACCCCATAGCTCTTCTAGCCACAAGTATACCCGATCTGCACCCAAGATGGGCTCCAACAATTCGAAATTGGCCCCTACCAATAAGAAAATAGACGAAAAGCCCGCTTGTGCAACAACGGCGACTATGAAATTGAGGCAGATAGCATCGGGAAGCGGCAACTTGGACACCCACCATGAGCATGAAGCCCGTACATGACCCTGTCCCTTGTCTATCCATGCCCAAGCAGTTACAAAAATAGTTACAACGGGGCGCTGATCAATGTAGCACCTCCGTACAATGCGGACGACCGGGCGAGAAGTCTCGCGATCCCACAGCTGAAAGATTGGGAAGAGCTTCTCCTGAGTTCCGACAAGGTAGTAAAGCCTATATCTCGCACATCAAGACAGGGGATACTACATTGATTGCTAGATATCTAATCCGGTTGCTTACCCAGAACCGTCTGGCCATTCTTAGTTTCGCCACCAATCCCTATTCGCAGATTCTTACCAATCGGTCTGCTGTGCAGGCTGTAGATAGGCCGGTTTTTAATGTCAAGATCCCGTTGGAAGGCGCCCCGATCACGAATCAGCGCTCGTCAGGCCGCTGCTGGCTGTTTGCGGCGACAAATGTTTTCCGGGTGCCACTCATGAAGAAGCATAACCTGAAGGACTTTGAGCTCAGTCAGGCATACCTCTTCTACTGGGATAAAATCGAGAAGGCCAATTGGTTCATGGAGAAGATCATAGAGACAGCGGATGAGGATCTGTCCAGTCGCTTGGTGCAGAAGCTGCTCGAGGACCCCGTCACGGACGGGGGCCAATGGGATATGGTGGCGAACCTGGTGGGCAAGTATGGCTTGGTGCCTCACGACATCTACCCGGATAACTTTAGTGCCCAGAACAGTGCGAAGATGAACTGGCTCGTAACAGTGAAGCTACGCGAGCATGCGTTGACACTGCGGCGGTTGGCGCAAAGTCAGCCCGAGAGACTGGCGAGACAGAAGGATGAATTTCTGAAAGAGATCCACACCCTGGTGACTATCATGTTGGGCCCGCCACCGAGTCCAAGTGAGGCCTTCCACTGGGAGTACTATGATGCCGATGGCAAATTTCAGGAAGTACACGATAGCCCGCAGGGATTTGCGAGACAGGCCTCTACGCAACTGGCCCGAGGAGATGTTGATCCCCGGAAGATGCTGAGCTTGGTCAATGACCCGCGAAATGAGTACGACCGATTATTGACAGTCGATAAACTGGGTAATGTAGTGGGAGGACGTCCGATCACATACGTCAATGTGGACATGAAGGTGAGTTCCTACGGAAAACCATGTGTTTCAACGGTGACCAACACGTTCCTAGACGATCAAAACCGCTGCCATTGCAATGCTTCGTGCAGGGCACCCTGTTTTCTTTGGCTGCGATGTTGGAAAATTCTACGACGCCAATCTTGGCGTGATGGATCCGTGGCTGCTGGACCTCAGATTGGGATTCAATACCACGCTGCGCATGGATAAGGCACAAAGACTGAGTACCGGCGAGTCATCCATGACCCATGCGATGGTGCTGACAGGCGTTCATGTCGAGAAGGGCCAGCCAGTGCGATGGCGGGTGCAGAACTCCTGGGGTGAGGCCGTGGGAGACAAGGGTTGGTTTGTCATGGCAGATGAATGGATGGACGAGTTTACGTATCAGGTAGTGGTTGACTCCCGGTTCGTTTCAAAAGAGGTGCGAGATATTCTAAATCAGGAACCAGAGGTCTTGCCACGATGGGACCCGATGGGAGTCCTTGCGTGACGAGTGGCCAATACTAGAAATATACGATAGTTGCAGATCTACAATGTTCTCCGTCATAGAGCATATCTGAAGGACAAAGGAGGTCCAGGAGACTTTACCGCATATTCACCGAAGCAAGTAGTACTCTGCCTCGCAGTAGAGAAGCCACATAATGCGGTAACCTGAAACTCAACAAGGCCGTCAGTATTGCTCCGAGAAGACATGAAACAGTCTCTAATCCTGAATTTGCGCGTTCTGAGGCATCACCAGTGGTGCCACAAGTTGTCAAACTTGTCAAACCATGTGACTCACACCCTCATTCTGCTGCACCCCATAGGCAAGGTACACACTCGCCCAAGGAAGCGTCTGAGTGTCAGTCTACCCGGACGTCCCTATGCAAGTCTAAGGTAGGTTGGATCCTATGGTGATCTGATCACCGTCTGTGCCTGATGACCCCCTGTACGATTATTGGTCCAATCAGATCATGGAGGGTCAGGAAACGCCAACCGACCAATGGCAACAATTCCTTCAACACCGATATTTCGTCGAACCGACGAGATACTCGTGGTTAGCTTCTGGGGAAGATGGAGCTTGGATCCGATAGGGAGACATTCGAGAATATTGCGAGGATCCACAGGGCTCATTTCGCTTGGGTTAATAATTGACTTGATGATATCAGCTTCAGAGAGAGACATGTTCTGTTGACGTTGACCGCCGTCTGTACCGATGTACTCCGTAGATTATAACTTTTTTAGGGTTTTTTTGCCCGTTTAGGCCTCTCTAACTAACTAACCCCAAGAGAGTACTAGAGTAAGATACATCTGACAGGTAATATCAAACACTCTTCACTCTTGTACATGCTAAAATCTGAATAATGTATCTTATCTCCACGGTTCCATACTCCTGGTCTCGGTGGCTTACTGTCGACCAGCATAGTAATTCTGTAGATCAAGCATGGTATGCAGATTCCCATGTTGGGCAACAAACTGCACGCTGCACACGAGTCCGAGCATAAAAAAAAGTCAAAAACGCTCTGGACCCACTGCACCGGTGCCCTTTGACTGGGCCTGTCCGCAAGCTCCCCGAAAATGGTAGAGAAACCGCGAGGTGTGGACAATGTCGGTATCAGCGGTATAGCTGACTCTCGAGTCTCGGCACAGTCTCCGTTTGATTCGGTCTCGTCGCAATGAGGCGAAAAAAAAGGGGGGAGGATCCGAAACCTTCTCCCAGAATGATGAATTCTTGCATGTAGTAAATTGCGACTGCCTACTGTTATGGAGCAAGTCACGGGAGGAGTATAGCAGAGTGACTGGGGGCAACTCCACCAACGCTGCATCCTGCCCTACAATTGGGTCAACCGCTCTTGTTCACCGCCATGATGGCCATTTCCGCATCGCCATCCTAATGGAACATACCACACCGAACATGGAAGGCTAAGACAAGTTATTTCCATTTGTTTCTTTTCTCCCGGCACAAGGTAACAGTTACGGAGTTTAAGCGATGACAAATAAAGGAGTAAAAAAAATAGCATCGCACTCGAGTCACATGTAACTCTGCAGTGTTCCTGAATGGCACGAAGAAGTGGTACAGTATACCAACAGAACCGAGTTGGTACATTGGTAAATCATGATTTGCCTCAGGATATGTCGAGCTCTGCTATGTTTCAAAGAGCAGGGCTTGGAATCCGATTGGGTTCGTTCCGTTTCTATATCCCTACCTGGCCTTTGTTGTCGGTTCCTGATTTGCATGTTGATATCCCCAACCCTCATCATGGGCTCCGGCAGTTTGGCACGAAGGATTCGAACAACATGGCCGGCTGCATGCAACGGCCGTAGGGATGGGCTCGACGCTTCAATTGCTTCCTGGCACCTAATTTGCTCTTGATTTCTTTCTTTGAACACCCCCGATACGCATTTCACGCGATAATCGCGAGTAACCCTACACCCTCAGTGATCTCACCCCAACCGTGCGAGGCCAAAAAGCTCGGACAATTGTTCTCAGAGAAACGTGGCAGCGGCGTGCTACTTCCTCATCGTCTTGCCTCATTACCTACATCTGAACTAGTAGTTCCTATTCTCCATACCTATGCACGCACGTACACATACTACCCCATCGAGTCTAGAGGGCCGTCAAACCTGAAACACCCATGATGTAGTGCACTACCGGAAGAGGAAATCGTCCAGATAAGCAGACGGTGCTTCGAGAAGACCACAAGGGGACTCCGGAGTGAGTCATACCTACTGCGTTGGGGGATGTGGGTCAGCTCATCCTCTTTGTTTCGTCTCATTGAAGGGAACCTTCTGTATCCTCTGTGGATCGCACTGCCTTAGTCGGCCTTAGCTAGTACCTTAGGACGTCCATGTTATAGGTAGCGTTGACTTTCCTGTTAGGTCGTGTGCTAGTACCGTAAGTAGCTTCATTGCGGGTAAAAGAGGGAATAAAAAAGAAAATGGGTGAGGAGCATTTATGGATCGCCGCTCTGCTTACTATTTTCTACCTGATAGACGGATTAAGGGAACACGTTTTCCC